TTGGTTTTGTGCGCTTTTCAGACAATTTCCAGCGATTTTTGATTTTTCGAAAATTTTCAAAATTTTGAAAAAATTTCAAAGCTCTCACCAAGAGATGCATGCCTACCTCGGCGAATGCCTCACCCTGTCTGCCTGACACGGCCTCGATCCTTTCCGATTGTTGACTGCGTCGCTTTCTGCACAACCGGCCTATGCAGGGCTCGATTTGTGGATGGTCTTTTCGATAGAGGACTGGAGGAGACGGATCGAGAAGGTTGGATTGATTCTCTGCTGATCTCTGCTCTCGGATCGAGTTACTCTCCATGGAAGGCAACGAGTTGGCCTTTCTAAAGGCCCACCTCCCTGACCTGCTCCAGCAGGTACGGAAGCAGCTCATCGACGCCATCGCCGCGGAAAAGAGACAGCGGGCAGCAGCAGTAACTACAGCAGCATCAGCCGTGATCGGAGGGCCTGTTCGAGCCAACGCTGGCAAGAGGAAAGCCAACTCGGGCGGTTCGTTGGAACCCGCATCCAGGCGCCTAGCGCCCGGGCCACTGTCCGGAGCCGGGTCCCCTCCTGCCGAACTCTTGCCGGCGTTGGCTCGAGTAGGCCCTCCGGCCACGGCTGTTGCTGCTGTAGTTGCTGCTGCTGCTCCTGCCCGCTGCCTCTTCTTTTCCGCGGCGATGGCGTCCATGAGCTGCTTCCGGACCTGCTGGCCAGCTCAGGGTGATGGGCCTTTAGAAAGGCCAGCTCGTTTCCTTCCATGGAGAGTATAGATCAGTCAATCCGAGAGCAGAGATCAGTTTCCCACCGGAAAAGTCTATCCCAGTCCAATCCATCGTTGCACGAACCGTTCTCTGTATCATCCTATATATGCCGCACCGACTGTACAGAGACCTGGTTCGACAGACCGGGTGAGGCTCAGACCGCTTCAAGCAGAGACATGTGAGTGACAGTGTCATGCAAAGACCTGGTGGGTCAAAGAGATTGTCAAGGAAAGAGGGTGAGGCAGAGACCGAGTCAAGCACATTCCGGTTGAAGCACACACCGTTTCAAGCAGAGGCACGTGAGGCACAGACTGAGTAACGCAGAGACCGGGTGAAACAGAGACGGGGTCAAACAGATTCACGGTGAATCACACCGTGCAGAGCAGACAACTATGATGCACACACCGTGTCCGGCTGAGACTGTGTGAAGTAGAGTGTCAGACCTGGGCTGATAGGAATGGGTTAGGTCAAAATCAAAAAAAAATCTTGCAATTTCTCTAAATTTTCGAAAAATCAAAAAACGCTGCAAATAGTCTGAAAAGCGCACAAAACCAAAAGTTTTCGAAAAATTCGGAAAAATTTAGAAGTTGAAATTTTTCAAATATTTTTAGTTTTGTGCGCTTTCTGGACATTTTCCTGCATTTTTTGATTTTTCGAAACTTTGAAATTTTTTTAAATATTTCAAAATTTTCAAAAATCAAAAAAAAATTAAAAATTGTTATAAATGTCATGATACACGAGGATAACTATAAAATTTGGAAACTTTGGAAGAACATTTATCGGAATTTTTCAAAAATCTTTAGAAGTTGGAATTTTCAAATTTTCTTAGTTTTGTGCCTTACCCAGTCTCTGCTGGACCCGGTCTTTACAGAGACTGCCCTTCAGTGACCGATTCGTGAAGTGACCGAGTCCGTCAGATTGGGGTAAGTCAGAGATCGATGTTTTTTGGGCTGAATTCTTGCCTCTGCTCATCGAGGTGTTGCCAAACGTACGTATGTCAGCTCCTTTAGAATTGTGATGGTGACTACCTTCTATTATTTATACCGTGGATTCCTATAGTACTTCACCGACATTTCAGAGGTGTATACTACGTCCATCTCCAAGGCTTTCCTCCATTATATCTCATCGTCCTGATGAAGGGAGAATTACTCAGTTCTGAACCAGTGGTCTACTTGTATGAGACTACATAGTGCAATAAACAAAAGGTTGTTTTTTATTTCCATCGTAAATTTATTTTTGTTGTACTTAGCAGAAGCATGTCGTTGTAGAACAGAAAAGGAATTCATTGATATTAAAGCAAGGCAGAATTAGAATGTGCAGACCACATGTTACGTAAGGTAATTCACTTATTCATCACAATCCACCGGCGTTCTTTTAGAGAATTTAGTGCAGCATCTATTTCATATGAACCTCAAAAGAGAGTACAAGGGTACGGAAAAGTTCACCATGTTCTTTCTACGTAAGTATTATATGTCGATCTATTTTTCTGTATTATTCATGTAATTGTAATTTGAAAAACTTTTCTATTTCCACAAATAAATTTCATATCGTTACACAGAACAGCACAAAGGGAAATGTGTATAAATAATATTAAGTTCTTTTTTGCTTTGTAAACGCACTCCACCAGTTTTACACAGTTATTATTTTGAAATGGCTGTTATTGTCTTCTTTAAGCTGCAATCTAATATTCTGCAAGGGTGTACATTCCTAGTATAACCCTATATAATTTAACCAGCTGCTTCGGATTCGAAATGCACACACACGTTTTTGTTGGAAACTTAACAGAACAAACCACTCAAAATACCAAGGAGTAAATGGGAAGATAATATTAAACCTTATCTCAGGGAAATAAGATTGGAGAATGTGAATTGAATCCATTCGTTTCAAAGAACACGGAAACTGCTCTAAAACGATTTGCCTGGTGACTTTGAAGTATTGCTTGACGTAGTTAATAGCCGCTCAACTAGTCTTTTATAGAGCACGAAGCTTGCTTAATCCAATCCACGCCCTTCCACGTTATTTCTTTAATATTAATTCTAATATTATTTATCCAGTTATTCCGAGGTCTCCCAACTGGTTGTCTGTTTTTAAGACCATTTTTTTAAATATTTTATTTTTTCGGGACAGGCCTCCTCCCTTCACACTTACCGACCAACTTCTGTACGCATTTCTCGAGTCTCTTATACCTGGCATGTGCCCCATGCACCTATATTTCCGTAATTTTACTACCCTAATATTTTTTGGTAATGAGTGCAAAATATGAAGTTTCTCAGTGTGTAATTTTCTTCATCTTCCTTTCATTTCCGGCTACTTGGGTCAAAATATTACTGTTCTTTGAAAAGACCTCCATCCACACCAGGTAAGACAGTTACGTATATTCTAAATTTATGTTATTACACGATAAAGCAAAGAATTCCGAACCAAACATCGGCATTCATTCTCGAAATTTAATCTCCTAATTTCTTCAAAAAATAAATTTTCGTTTCCTGCTATCACCTGCACTAGTCAATCTTAATTATTAATAATAATTGTAGTTTTAATGTGTTAATTTTTACAAAAAAAGTGATCTATTAGAAGGTTCAGCACCATGTCCCTGCTATGCACCTCCCAAATTACCTCAACTTCATTTAACTTTCATGAATGATATGATTTAACCTACAGCGTTGGAGCGAACGCCATGCAATTAATCAAACACATAAATGACAGGACACGTGTCCCACACTCGTAGCTGATTATAAAATGTCAACTTAGTGTCACTAACGTTGAGTATGTGTGAACTCTAAAGAGATGGCAACATTGGACGTGATGTCTCTATTACAGCTTACATTGTTAAAAGACTAAATTATAAGTTGTAATTGTAACTATAAAGACAAACTCTAAGGAGAAGATTCCTTCTTTTAAAGCTATTAGTCGCTCAGCTAGTCAACAGTTTATCCTGAGTCAAAGGAATAAAAATTTAAACTAGAATACTCTGAACTGAGAGACTATGAAACTTACATGGAAGCTTACGTCAGAGGTCCCGGTTAAATGAGAATCATAAACTACCTCATGCGCTTGAACCTTCGACATAAAAGTTCAACTTCAAATGCACTTCACGGATAGTGCCCTGTGCTGCTGTGGAATAAAGCTACGGCTTCCTTTTATTACAGAATATAACCATATTTTGTAACTTTTAACAGTGTTGCAGCTTACTGAAACGGAAAATTAGAAACCGCTATCCTTCGTTTGAATAGCGTAATATAACGCGGATGAATGTGTTCACACGTGTCAACAATTTAGAACCAAAGGCTATTTACTGTATATGAGATTCTAAGAAACGTTACGTATATAATAATTATTACTCGTTAAAATTACAAACCAGTAAATTATTCAAAATGAATAGTTACAAGTTATAATTTCGTTTTACATTTAGTACTTGCAAAGTATTTTCTCATATATATATCTCTCTCTCTCAAGATCATAAAATAGTTTCTGTATATTACAGGTCCATTTTAAAGATACTGTATTCTTGAAGGTGTATTCACGGTTTTTATTAATAGTTTTAGTTTTATTAATATTATTAATCGAATGCATTCTACCGCAAAAACAATAAACAATGACCAAATAGTCAATGGGTATCATCAGGAGTTGGTGAAACCACAATTACTTATGTTAACATTAAGCGGGCTCTTGCCGCCAAAAAGTTGGTCTTCAAGTAGATGGAAGTCAATAATGTACGATGTATACACATTCCTTAGTTTTATTTTTCACATACCTTTCTTTCTTTTTCAAATAATGGGAGTGTATGTCTTTTGGGGCAATTTACAAATTGTAACAGGTATAATCTTTCAAATGACGGTATGTTTTGACGGGTTGGTAATATTAGTTTATTTTACATACCACAGGAAATATCTAGTCAAAATAATTGAAATGTTGGGAACGAAGTTCGTTCCATATCTAAGGAAAGTGGGATCTTCAAAAAAACAGGATGATATTATGAGAGAGGCTATAAAATTTTCGAACACAATGACTAAAATATTAATGATTATTTTTGTTGTTGTTATGTCCGCTTGGTGCGTATTTCCCTTCTTTGTCAAGTATTGGTCGCATGAACAAGAAGCAGAAATTGCCAACTATACAAACGTTCGGGTACATTTTGAGTACTTTGTCATAGCCACGTGGCTCCCAGACAAAGCATTCACTTCTCCCATGTATGAGATTATCTATGCGTGCCAGTTCTTTTATATTTGGTCTATAGTTGCGAATTTCACCGTTGGAAACATGGTTTTTTCTTCCATATTTTACGGTATTTCGATTCAGTTTCAATTACTTGCCACTTCGATTCGAGATATTGATGATATCTGTACAGATCTTAATGCAGAATTCAAAAACAAAGAAGATATGAGATCAGACAGAACTCATCTGGCTTCGGATATTTCTGACAAAGAAGCTTACGATAGATATCCACTTCGAGGAACTTTTCAGTCATCTACAGACACATTTCAAGTAAAGTTCTTAAATGATGAAGCATTTGCCGGTGCATATGAGATATGTTGTAAGGATATAACGGATTCTGCACATTGGAATGACGTCACAACAGATACAAACACTTGCTCAGAGACTGCGTACATGATAGAGTGCATAAATTACCACCAATGTCTATTGAAGTAAGTATTAGTCTATTAGTTGATACATTAATTAACAGTCTGTAATAACAGTTCAGTATGTTTTGTAGTAACACAGATTTGAAGATAGCTGTCTCTGGTTTGTTACGCCATGTAGTCTGGTAAAAGTCTACCTAAGTTTTAGAGACTTACTCATCGCCCTAACGATGGATGCATCAAGTACCTCTGAAACGTCTGTAAACTTATACCAGATCATAAACCGCAACAGCTCAGGAAACAACCATCTTAACACTCGACGCCGTGAAAACCTCAAATCTCAATATAAGACATAAATTTCATGGCGACTACAACTGTTAAAATCTTATTGGGTGATATCCATTGCAAACCCGTACGTAAGTCCAAATTTCTTTGGAGACTGCTTCTGTTTCAATAGTTAGGGAATAAACATCGTCTAATATCTGCTCTAGATTGAAGTGGGTGATATCCCAACAAGGTGTTATTACATAAGAAGAAATGTTATTCAAGAAAATGTACGTAGTGCAATTATTGATTCCTTCCAGGTTCTGTGATGAAGTCGACGACTTTCTGAGTCCACTGCTACTGATATACATAGTGATGTATGAGGCTATGATTTGTGTGCCGCTGTATCAACTAGTTATGGTAAGCAAGTAGTTCACAATTTGAACTGTAATTACGAATAGTCGCTCAGTACAGTTTCCTACAGTTTGTATCAAAAACTGAATTAACAAAAAGGTTTAAATAATAATAAACATCGCTACTTCTTAAAATATCTTACGTGTAGGAACTTTTTGTAATCAGATGTAATTAATTCCAGTTTCCAATGACAAGTTTACTATATTTAAACGATCTTCTTCTAGGCAATTATAAATAAAGCTAACATGGAAATTATTGGAAATGTTAATATCTAGTTATAACCAATTAACTGTACAGGGTGAAGCCGACAACATGTTCAGGTTCTTCACTAGTGCTGTTGATGCTACTTTCCTGCCATTAACCATTTGCTTGTCCGGGGAGATGTTATCCACACAGGTAGGACATGGAACCATAACGAAGGAGTCTGTGTGTAAAGCTATGAACTATGTGTAAAACTTCCCGTCAACTATGACGGGATAATTGAAATTGGTACTTAAAAACACATCTAGCATAAGCATAAGGAAGTGGCATTTTTATCATAATATTCAGTCTGTCTGAGCAAAGAATCGACTCGACTTTGAAGACGTGACGTAATTTAATACTGTTCAAAAAACATTTCCCTTTTCTTAAAATTTTCCCACTGTTGGAGTAATTTGTGTAACAATTGATACTATGGGTGTGTTATCAATGACCCGACTGATACACCAAATTATTTGTAACTACCAGATTCAAAGACACAAGAATAAGACGAAACACTAGAACGTTAGAAAACTAACGTAGAACTGAGAATCAGACGATGTTTCCAAACCGCATATTAGAACGGTTGTCCGCCTGCACAAATGGGCTGTTATCTTTGAAGGTCAAGTCAATTCTTCGCCCAGGCAGACAGTACTTTCCTTTGCTTGATTACGTAAGTTGAGAAGCGTAAACACGTTTTCCTACGCTGTAAAGAAATACGTGTATATAATAGACCATGAATGAATATCAAACAGCACTCGTCTATTATACTGGCAGATTATAAGTGTTTGATATCAAAGTCCCTAAGAACATGTATGATCATAAGAGAAACATAATAAATTGACAGTTTTTATAATACATAAAGCATTTAGTGAGTTTTACAGGACCTTTAGGACTTTAACAATACAAGATGACAGGTATAAACCTCACGTTCCTCCAGTGAGGGTAGTTAAATGAGTAAAGTCACTGGGTACGGGTTGGAAGACTGACTGCAACTCGATTCCCGATAGAGAAAGGTAATTTTCTACTTACCATCGCATCTAGACCGGCTATGGGGTGCACACAGCCACTTTCCCCATGGAAACAGGGGACTCTTTACTTGGGCAAAAGCTACCGGAACATTCCTCCACCCTCTACTTCATATTGTCGTTGTCCGTAATAAGGACAACTTTGACCTTCTTTGTTGTATCTAGGTTGTTGTGATTGGCAGAAGTAGTAGCATGAACGGATAAACGGGCAAACCGGACTTGAAAGCATCTTGCTGGAATAGGAACGGAACAAGACGATATTATTAAAGCTTATACCTTCTGCCTCGGAAGATCAAACATATGCAGAAATGGCTATTCATTCTTTTAGATAGCTACTTCAGTATAATTCCTTCTACAGTAATAACTGCAAAAGAATAAACTTTTCATGTAAACCTCCACCGCTTGGAAATAACTTCACCTCTGTCCGATATGTAGAGCCAGTCTGATCGACTCCGTGCTACTTAGCGTCGATCTAATCGATCTTGAGATTGTAAATGTAAGAAAACAGAATATGAACACCAAAAGTGACCAGACTAGCTCAAGGTCATTTACAGCAGTGAGTTTTACTATTACCACTTTCCAAAATTAAATTTCGTGAAAATACATCCAGTGGTTCTCAAGTTGTTATGCAGACCTACACACAGATACTGGGAAAATAATAGGCGCATTCTTCCAACTTTTAGTTGCTAACGAGTCTAAAAATGCAAAGTTCTCACTGCATATAAGAGCAGAGTGTAATAAAAACATAGCTGAATGTAATCTCAAGCTTCCAGCTACGACCGCTTTATCCTCTAATATTATCATATTGTAATAATTGATGTATCTTAAAATCTTGTGTGCGCAGAGCATGGCTGTACGGAAAGCTGCTTATGAATGCCGATGGTATCATCGCTCACAAAGCCTCAAGAAACTTCTGCAGATGATCCTGATACGTACCAAGGAGCCAGTGAAAATGACCGCTGGGAAATTTTTCGTCATATCTCTAGAAACATTTGCTAATGTAATCAAATATCAAGTAAACTGTTGATGGTGGTCTTCTGGGTTGTAACACCTTGTGTTCTTGTAGGTAGTTGACATTTCGGAGGAACGTTCTGCCTTCAGTGAGCTCTGACGTTTCCACGGCATCGAATATGAAGATGACAGTCTTCTGGGTTGTTGCGTCGTATATTCTGGTAGACGTTTACCGACGTTTCAAATGTGCTTGCTACCTCCATCATTATTTTCCTAATGTTTGAGGCAGTAAGCACCACTGAAACGTCGGTAAACATCTACCAGACTACACGGCGCAACAACCCAGAAGACAGCCATCTTCACACTATAACCAAGGCTCAAGCGGAGAAAGTATGTCACTCCAAGCCGTTGAAATCTACCTACAAGACCACACAGCGTTAAAGCCCAGAACAACAATATGGCACGTTCCTTCGTTATCTAAATGCAGTATGACATAGATGCTTAAGAATAATACACTTGTATCATAAAATTTTGAAAAGGTTAAACAATTTTATAATTTCTTAAATTAATGCGTATGCACTATTAAGTATAATTCGTGATTAAAAGCTTCTTTGGAACAATATAATATCCAGGTATTTGTTCATTGTCTAAAGTTTATTAAATGAAAATGGCTGGTTTAGTATAAATTCATAATTGCTTGTACTTAGCACTGACCATTTTATAGGGGTATATTTGGCACAGGCTTATATATGACTTGTCCAGAACTGGATCTACCCCTCCCCCGCCACCATTCAGGTGACTGGTTGTCATTACACTGGCAGATTCTTAATTTCCTTCTATTTTAAAATTAACAGGGACGGTTGGGATCGAATCCGATACTCTTCGAAAACTAGGCTAGTACAGTGACGACTAGAACTGTAATAATAATCCGCTCTCTAAGGTGGGATTGCGCCGTTCCAGACAGTAGTTATTAATATACCTCTGACAAATGGCAATGCTCAATTGACATAACAGTCATGTTAACTGTGTTAGCCCAGCTAACATCCTGAAAAAATAAAAATAAAAAAGTCTTCTGTCTTACTTTCGTGGTTTACTGGTACTCCATACACTGAATACAGCATAACCGGCAGGATAAAATGTATTATTAGCCAACTGCTGCCAACCAAGCGTTGTTACCACTTTCGCCAAGATCGTTAGCTTCATCTATCTGGCTAACATAAGCCTGGCTAGCTGGAGGTGGCTAACGATGCATCGTTTCTGATCGATTTTGCTGTGTTCCAGTGTATGGATACCAATGAACAACGAAAGTTACACAGAATACTTTTTCTTATTTCAGTTTTGAAAGTGTTAGCCGGATTAACGCGGCTAACATGATAAAAGATAAGTTATTTTTTAAATTCATTTTCTTTCTTATTCTAGATTGCTAACAAGGTATTCGCCTACTTCACAGTGCTCAAGAATATGCAACCCTGAGCGATGTCGACTAGGCCATTTTGCCTGCGCTTGGCATGTACACCAGTAGCAAGGCGAAAAGCGAAAGATAAAGGTTAGGTTAGGTTACGTTAGGTTAGGTTAGGTTAGGCTATGCCTTCCATAGGAAATACCAGGCCAGTGTTCTTCATAGAGTTGTCTATAACCTATGATTACGGGAGCTATAAGGGTAAAATGTGTGCTTGAGGCTGATGATGTATATTGTACTTTGTTGTAATTCAGTAGTAGTAGTAGATGTAAGGATAACAGTATACTATTTATTAAAGATAGCATTTCTTCTTGGCGCTACAGTTCAAAGTTGAACCCCGGCCTCTTCAATCTTTAGCTTCCGTCCGAGGCTCAGCTTGAAGTTTCGAAACAAATATTTTTTACGGAATGAGGTTGTCAGCTTCACTCCCAACCCTCAGCAATCCTGAGGGAGTAATGTTTTTCTGTCGGGGATGTCTCCCTTAGCTGGCCGGTCCCAATTTGAAAGCGTCAGGAACTCGCTTGTTTGCCCTTGCATGGATCATTACAACAATTTAATAACTGTAATTTTATTGAGTAGGCTTTTTACTTCTGGCTGTAAAACACATTTCATTGCATCTGTAACATTTAAGTCCAAGCACAGAGCAGATTTCTCACCTAGTTTTCTCTACGGTGATTCTGTGTCATACGAGAGAAAGTCAAAATGTAAGAGTAATTTTAGTGTACGTATCTTAAAAGTGATATTGACAGCTTCAATGATGTTGGCGGGTACAGAACACACGAACCGTATGCCATCTGTAGGTAGACGGTTATTATTAATTACTTAATAAATGAACTGAACTGATTTATTATTATCAGTGGTGTGATGATAACCTTATGAAACTTAATCTTCAGAAGTCAAAAATTATATCTTTCACACTTAAGACCAACTGTATTCGTTTTAACTATTATGTCAGAGATGTTTCAATTTTGCGTACTGACTGCGTAAAAGATCTTGGCGTCATGTTTGATAGTAAATTGCATTTCCATGCTCGTGTTGATTATGCATATTCTCTTGGACTCAGAACACTAGGGCTGGTTCGTTTTATTACTTACAACTTCTCTTCTTTAGACAGTCTTGTTGTTTAATATAATGCTTTAGTTAGGTCTATGCTTCAGTATGCTTCGGTGGTATGGATTAATCTTACTGTGACTGATTATAATAAATTAGAAAGTATTCAAATAAAATTTGCTAATCTGTGTCATTATCGGTTCTTTCAGTTTGATATTCCAGGGAAGTATGAGCTGATTTTAAATTGCTTAAATTTTAAAACGCTTTGTTATAGACGACGAAATGTCGATGCCTCATTTCTCATCGATGATTTTAAGAGCAAAATAAATTGTCATTCAATCATGGACACTGATGGTATACGTGTGCCCTCAAGGCAAATAAGAAATGTTTCTACTTTTAGTGTGAGCAGAGAGATGAGACATAGTCCTTCCGCTAGGTGCGCCAGTGCTGCAAATGTCGTATGCAGATTTCTTTAACATGTTCAGCGAAGTCAGTGTCCCCCTTGAGGACACTTTCTCTGTACACGAAAGGGTCTAGATTGATTGTTGTAATTTAACTTTTGTTTTACGCTATTTCCTGTGAGTGTATTATTATTTATTGTAGTATATTTTTGCCAGTGTCTGCCTGTAAAAGGCTATTTGTGCTGCTGGTAAACACCATAATAAAAAAAAATAATATAGGAATTGGATTGAGTAACACACCAATTAATATGTTTCTTCATGTTTATTCACGTGTGTCTGTGTTCTTATATTAATTGTATTCTTTTGTGCTGACTCTGCAATCGGCTCCTGGAACTTATGAGCAGGCGTAGCTCAGTCGGTATAGTGACTAGCTACGGACTGCATGACCGGGCTTTGATCCCCAACGGGGGCAAAGGATTTCTCCTCTAGCCTCTGTGTTCAGACCGGCTCTGGGGCCCACCCAGCCTCCTCTACAATTGGTACCGGGGTCCTTTCCCGGGGATAAAGCACGCGTGATGCGACCACTCACCCCCATCTAGTGCCGAGGTCAAGAATGAGCAGCAGCTATACCTTCTCTCCCCCCAAGCGCCTTCATGGCGTATAGTGGGACAGCTTTACTTTACTTTTTATTAATATTATTTACAGTTTATTTAAAGATTATTTTTCAGTATCTCAGACTATAAAGCGTCGATGGTTTTTAACATCTTCAGAATAGTGATAATAGTGTTGCAGACCGAAGATAATGTTATGATTCATTTTGGGCAGGTAAATTTGAAAATAAGATGGATTTAGTCGGTCAGGATGTTGCTCACAACGGCGATAGTAATTTATCTGTAAAACTATAAAGACCGGTTAAAACATCCATAGAGTATGAACGGAAACCTAAACTTACTTTTAAACAACTTACATCAGAAAGTAAACAACTGAGTGAAGTTTTCCAGCTACACAGTCGGTCTACAAGTATTCATTACTTCTCTTTAGCTCTTTAAGAACAACTTCCATTAACCTGATGACTACAAAGTAATACGAACAATCAGCGTTCTATGTAATTGTACGTTACTGAATATTTACAAGCTATTGATCTAGAAACTCTCATTACTATGATTCTATTTCAATTTGTATTCAGCTATCCTTCAGTTGTCATAATTTTTAAACCGTACACAATACTTGAACTTCAAACGATACTGTATGGCGTGTTATACCGACAAAAACAGAATTTTAAACAAGTAATATGATTTATATCTTGCTAATATGTGCGCAGATCGACATTAGTGAAGGCTCTTTGGATCAGTTCAGTTGTACCGTGCTACAGGAAACCCGCAATAAATCTGGTTCTCTTTGGTATATAAAAAACTAATCAGAAACTTAGGATGATTTCTGCACTATCAGCGTCAGAAAATGAACACAGGGACATTTTATCTAAGTTAGATTCCTTTAACCCACTCCTAATTCTGCTGAATGTCAGTGGAATGTTGCCTCCACTTCGCATATATTCCAGTCGCTGGAAGACAAACCTGTACAACGTGTTTTCCGGGGTCACATTCCTCTCATACATTCCGCTCATTGTAATGCAAATTATGGGAATATTCGAGTACTCCGGGAACTTACTTTTGGTGACAGTTATCATATTTCAGCTGGCAGCTTACTTTGACGGAATGGTAACCATGGCCTACTTTATTTACCACAGGAAACGCTTACTGAATACATTCTATTCAGTGGAGAATAAATTTAATCCATTCATGCAAAAAGTCGGAAATGCACAAACGCAGAAAAAAATAATTCTTGGAAATAAAAAATTTGAAAGGATTATAAGTTTTGTGGCAATGGCAGCATTTCTAGCAGATATGTGTACATGGTGTGTTTTGCCTTCTATTGTACGGTATCTTGCGTATTTTAACGAAGAAGAAGGAACGGCAGATGTGGAAGTTAAACAGCATTTAGAATATTTTATCCTTGTCATGTGGCTTCCACAGAAGGCAAGTGAATTTCCTTGCTACGAAATTCTGTACATTTTCCAATTCTTTTCCGTGTGGGGAGTCGTGTCGAATTACGCAGCCGGTAAGCTGATTATCGTTTCGCTGTATTATCATCTCTCGTCCCACTTTCGTATTCTAGCTTCAGCTATTGAGGACATAGACGTGCTGTGTAATAACAACACAACAAAAGATGAATGCAACACGTTCTCAGAAGAAATGACACTAAACACTTCAGCTAACGATACCAACGTTTCATTAGTCAAGTTCACCGTTGAAGACTTAAGAAGACATTTTTCTGTAACACAACCCGAAAACATTTCCGATAAAGATTACACTTTTCCATCTGAGTGTACGAAAATATTTTCAAGGGAAGATGTGCTGTCTACAGCTCCAGAGCATCGCAGTGAAGTAACTTATCTTACTCACTGCATTAAATTTCATCAGGTGCTACTAAAGTGAGTACACTAGTCACTTAATGCATTTAGATTAATTCTCAGACTGTAGAACTATCAGTAACTAATTCCATAAAGCACATCACGTCTTCAGAAGCTGAGAGCTAGTTAAAAAATTACAAGCCTTTTACGGAACTCGAAAGTTCATTACCGTGTTCAAAATATCTCACCAATGGTCCCTATGCTGAACAAATTCAGTCTACCTTTCTTCCTAAAGATCCATTTTAATATTATCCTCCCATCTACGCCTAGGTCTTCCGAACAATTTCTTTTCTTTTTTAATCTAGACCAATTTTAATATTGTCTAGAACAGTTGTAGTATCCACTACTACTATTAAACGTCGGTGTGATTTGAAGTTTCGTGTGTTTATTTGGATACCTTACATTACTGTATACTAACTGCTAAAATATCCTACCGTTTCTTACAGATTCTGTGTCGAAGTAAACGATTTTCTGAGTAACATTCTTTTGTTCGATCTGATAATATTTCAAATTTTAATGTGTTTACCGCCTCTTCAGCTGATCTTGGTGAGTACTCACATTATGTGTTTATAATATTAAATTATATTTTGTTAGCGGTTGATTAACTTCTAATTTGAATTGATATGAAGTTGCCGATATTCAGAGCTTGAGATAGAATTCGATTGGGTAGCTTACGTTTAAAAACGCCTTACACACGCGTGTGTATGGTTCATTACTAGAAATCAAAGTTTGAACTCTCGGTAACACAGGCCTAATGGATTGTTTTATTACTTCAGGGTCAGAATGTAAGCATGGTTAAGTTCGTGTCCAGCATTGTTGATACTGGAATCTGGCCACTGCTGATCTGCTTCTGGGGTGAAGATTTATCGCAACAGGTAAGTCAATCTGGAATTTTTATCTCCCGCGGATGCCCATTGAAAAAATTCACAAGCTAATTCCACGGAAGTCATTTCTGTGAAGCTGCCTGTCGCTTAGCTGTTAAATACCCCCTGCGTTCTATGGGACACAAAACGTCCATTATTATGTACACAAGAGACAGTCACTGGGCCCTATTCTGGAGCCAGACGAATACATTTCACAGATTCATATTTTATTTATTTAAGATTAATTTGAATAGCATCCTTCCATTTACGTCAGGTTATCCAAATGGTTTTCTCCGTTCAAGTATTCCAATAATTTTGTACAAATTCCTTGTCTTCTCCCCCGTCTATCTGATCCGCCTTGATTTGACTGCCCTAAAAATATCCGGTAAACAATACAAATTCTGAAAGCTTATTTATATAATTATTTTCTTCCTTCTGCTCCTACCTCGCACTTAAAGTTAGATATTCACTTTACCGATTTCACGTCATACATCTTCAATCTGTGTTTTTTGCTGAGGGTGAGACACCAAGATTCACAATAATACAAAACATCAGATAAAATAAATTTCATTTTTTAAGTATTAAGTTATGAAACTGGAAGACAATATTCTGATCAGTACGAAGCATTGCCCTCAATTCATTTGTTCTTAAGTTCTTCCTGGATATGATTATGACGTATAAAAGTAATCCAAGAGCTAAATATTCCTGTTGGAATAGAGTTTGTCCGTACAGAAGGCCGCTTATGGATGCAGCTGGTACAACCGTTCGCAGCGCCTGAAGAAACTCCTGCAGTTCATAATAATGCGTACCAAGAAGCCTGTCAGAATGACGGCAGGAAAGTTCTACTACATTTCGCTGGAGACATTTGCTGACGTAATTATTCTATGCAACAATAATATTTAATATTATTTACCTTTCTTTCTCAGATACAGCAAATTTAAATGAGTTAAAATGGTCAATAACTTTTCAAAGACACAAAGGCCTAAATTATTTAAATCATTATCTAGAGATCAGTTGTAACTTCGAATAAGCGCGAGTTAAATGTAACAGATGAATGTATAGAAAAGTTGAGCACGTTCATACGTTTAAATCCTAATAACTCTAGCGTCCTAAGATTGTAACAAACAAAAACATACGAATGCTACTGGCCTCTGAATAGTTTCGTTTAGTCACTCAGTATTTCAAATAATAATCTGTTAATGAATAAATTATTCTCGCTTCCAAAATGGACTAAATTTAGTGTCTGATTTATTTTAAACTGTGACAATGTGTAATTGATACAAGCGAAACAAAATAAATTCCGTGATAATGAGTTCAGGATGTCGATAGTAAGAGGTTGAACCTCCTGTAACCGACGAACTTAACTGTGCGTGATTAATGTTTGATTTCTTTTTCAGATTGAGAACAAAGTGTATGCTTACTTCACTATACTAAAAAACTCCACATAATGAAACTTCTACACGATACGAGCTCACATATGTTTAGGTATCGATACAAAATAACTTAGTAAAATCTGCAAAGTCTCACACACGCATCTCTTGTGCACAATGTTCACACGAAGTTCCCGAAAACAGAATGTAATACTATTGTATAAGCAGAATGACTTTGCAAAAGACTTAAGCGTTCAATCAATAAAACCAAAACTTCTAAGAGCATTATGTTACAACGTATTGTTCTTGCATTTGTTAGTTACCACAAAACAGCTACTTCCTTTCCTGAAAAATAAGTTATTAAATAAATGGATGGATAAATTCTATATTTCTTTACTCCTTTACAGATGCAAGTGATACATGTTTATTGCAGCAAACTTAACACTGAACGGAAATCTCGCTCGGCTGCCATGTTATTAATTTACACTCTACACAATTTGTAGTCACCAAAAATAACATATTTATCGATGATCTGTTAGGCCTATCACACAACAATTCGGAATCTTACACTGAATTGTGTTCGCGCCATGTCGGTAGGAATTGTGACTTCTTACTGATTTACTTAGACTTAATAAATATTTTACAAGTAAAACTCTCAACCTGAGACATTTTAAAATCATATGATTTTAGAGTGTTCTTTAATAAGGACAAACGAAGCACAACTTTATGTTTTAAATTGCCTAAATGGAATACCATGGATTATAAGATAGCATCATAGGAATTGAAATCATTAAGTCATGCATTAGACCTCTAAAAGTTCATGGTGTTACCAATGGATGTCACTACCATACTCGCACTGCTAGGGGCTTACACAGCTGATCTTTACGACCACACGTCCTATGCAGGATATAATCCCTGGAATATCAATGCCGATGACACTGGACACGTGAAGAATATGAATACACAATCACCATTAGTGGAGATCCGTGGCCCAAATTGCAACGGAAGGGCTGTTTATACAATTCCCACTTTTCTTACATAATAAATTAGCATTCAAGTAATTTCAGGTGCGTGGTCCTTTTTACTAAGGACAATCGTACTGAATAGCGGAAACACTGTACATAACAACCGGTTAGAATCTCAAATTCGCAAATGTCTAGACTGAGATTATACCGAGGTATTCTTCAATGTCTTCAGGCGAATACTGCAATGGTAAATAAAGTTCTACTACACGCCACGGCGGAGCTTGGGAGGGAATGTACAGATCCTACTCGTTCTTTACCCTGACACTAGGTGAGGTTGAGTGGTCAGCTTCAAGGCCCGACCGTGTCCCCCCCTCCCCCAGGGGAAACGATAGCCGGTACCCTTTGGATAGAGGGCCGGGCGAGTCCCACAGCCGGACAGCTTGTCTGCAGTCCAGTCTATTCTACGACACATTACCTCTACAATTAAGACAGTCGTTGAATAAACTTATAAACCTACAAAAATTTGTAAATCGCCCTGATGATGACAGCAGCAAGTACCTTTGAAACATCAGTAAACTTCTATCAGATTACACGCCGTAAGAACTCACAATGTAGCCTCAAATCGTAAATATGCAGATGGCCATGTAGGACGCTAAATGTGGTGGTGCTTGAAATATATTTGTCCTTCCATGTTTACTGGTAGCCCACTGACCTGACATCTGCCAGGAGCAACTGAGAAAAACAGCTATAGAATCACTTAACCGTGAGGATTAGATAACCAACATATGTCTACATATTGTATGATAATATTCAATTATTTTGTAATACCAAATGTCGCGGTCGTGTGGTTAACCTCCTGGCTTTGTGTTCGGGAGGTCGAGGGTTCAAATAACGGCATCTTAATTCAATAGTCATTTCTTATCCTATCAGTCGACACCATACCTACAGGCTTATTTACTGACTCGGATACTGGATACTGGGAACGACCCGTTCTTCAAGTGCCTGAGCACTGCGGGTCCCAACTTTTCGTTGGCTCGATCTATAAACATTCGGTAGGACTCCTTGGACGAGGGATAAGCCCGTCGCAAGGCCTCTACCTGTACACAAGACAAACATCCATGGCTTGAGTGGGATTCGAACCCACGGGCCCCG